GTGGCAGAGCGAGGAAGGGGGAGGGGTGCGGAGAAGGGGGGGGGGGTGGAGGACCCGGAAGATGGTAGCAATCGTGAGTCTGAGTGTGATGTGTGATGATTGTGATGGTGACGGTGATGGTGATGCATATGACGACGACGGTGGTGGTGAGGATGATGATGATGATGATGATGGTGATGATGATGATGATGATGATGATGATGTTGATGATGATGCTGGTGATGATGATGATGTTGATGATGTTGATGATGATGCTGGTGATGATGATGTTGTTGATGATGTTGTGGTGAGGATGCTGATGCTGGTGATGATGATGTTGTTGTTGATGGTGATGAGGATGATGATGATGATTATCATAAGGCTGATGATGATGAGGAGGAGGAGGAGGACGCTTCTCCTCGCCCCTCTCGTCCGTCTCGAGGAGCAGCGAACCTACAAGAACATACAGTTTCAGAGGCGCTCTTTGTCTCTTCTCTTCCCCTCTCTTGCGCAATTTAGGTCGTAGCTAGCGCGCTATGACTTTGACGGCGTGCGGTACCTCCGTATCGCTTGCGATCAAAAAGTATCCCCACCAGCCCATCCAGAAACGATGTCCAGGCGAGTTGAGGTGATCAGGGAAGTGCGGGAGCAAAGAGGGGGACGGCCCAACCGTGCGAAGGAGGGAGGAGGGGAAGGAGGAGGCTGGATGGATAGATGAGGGAGTGGGCAGAAGGAAGATGACTAGGATGAGGAGGAGGAGGAGGAGGAAGAGAAGGAGTAGGAGTAGGAGGAGGAAGGAGGAGCAGGAGGAGGAGGAGGGCAAGCAAGAGGGCCAGAGGTCTCTTGGATGCCCCTCGGAGCCTCTTGGGATATCTCTTGGGAGCTTTTTGGAGGCCTCTTGGGACGTCTTGCGGGTCTCTTGGCGGTCCTGGGGGCTCTTCTTGGGTGCCTCGGGGGGGGGGCTCTTGGGGCCGCTTGGGGTCCTCTTAGGGGCCTCCAGGGGGCCTCTTGGGGGCCTCTTGGGGCTATCTTGGGGCCATCTTGGGGCCTCCTGGGCGCTGCTTGGGGCCATCCTGGAGGACATCGGTGAAAAAAGGGGGGGTCCCCAATTAGCGCTGCCCCTCCAGAGCCTCTAAAGTCGCCTTTTGGGGCGCTCTTTGAGCGCCCTTGGGCGCTCTTGGGGCCGTCTTGACGCTCTCTTGGGCCATCTCGGGGCCCTCTTGGGCCATCTTGGAGCCATCTTGAGGCCTCGTATGGCCATCGGAAGCGAAAAGGCGAGAAGGCAAACATCATTGGATTGCCTTAGGTTTTGGAAGGGTGTGAGCCTCTTGGAGGCCTCCTTGGATGTCTCGGGGGCCTCTTGGAGCCGTCTTGTAACTTTCTTGGGTCCTCTTGGAGCATCTTGGAAGCCATCTTGAGGCATCTCGGGCTATCTTGAGCCATCTTGGAGGTCATCTTGGGCTCTCAGAGGCTCTCTTGGAGCCGTCTTGGGCCATCTTGGACGCTCTGACCACTCGCGGCCGCCCCCGTCCAGGTCCAGGGGAGGGGGTAGGGGGAGGGGTCAATCAAGACGCCCTCCCCGCCCGCAAGCCGTCTCGCTCACTCCCGCTCGCCCTCCCAACACATACGTAGCACCCGAGTCTGGCCCGAGCCTCAGCATATTCAGCAGTCGTCTTTGGATGGGCAGCTACTGGGGGCCAATCCGCCGCCGCTGCCTCCGCCGCCGCCGCTGCAGCCGCCGCCGCCGCAGCCGCTACCGCCGCCGCCGCCGGCGCAGCCGCCGCCGCCGCCGCCCCCGCCTCCGCCCCCGCCGCAGCCGCCCCCTCCGCCGCCTCCGCCTCAGCCGCCGCCGCCGCCAAGTGTATTCTGTATTGTTTTTGGAAAGGGATGGTGGGAGGAGGCCGCATCGGGTTGGCTGCGCATGCTCCGAATTTGGAGGCAGAGTGTGTTTTGGATTGTTGTTTACAAAGGACGGTGTGGGTGGGGCCCTCATGGTTCCTGGTTGGCTACCAGTTGCCTGGGGGAGGGGGGTGTTACTGAATAGGGAACAGCGATCAAGCTACCCACCCGCCCGCAAGCCGTCTAGCTCACTCCCCCCCGCCCTCCCCAACACATAAGTAACACCCGAGCCTGAGCATGTTCAGCGGTCGTCTTTGGATGGGCAGCTACCACGAACCAAAGCCGACCCCATGTGCGCGACGCTGGGGCGAGGTGCGCCACGCGTGCCAGGGGCGCCACGCGCGCCAGGTACCCTTGGGGCCCGAACGTGCAAGGCACGCCTGGTGCGCCAGATGCGCCACGTGCTCCGAGTGCACCAGGTGTGCCGCACACTCCAGCCGCGCCAGGTGCGCCATGTTCGGGGCACATGCAGAGTGCGTCAGGTGCGCATGCGCACTGGACAGCACACATCGGGAAACATTTCGGCCCCCGCCACCCTTATCGATAACCAATGCCCATCATTGTGTCTGGTGGGCCTGCGCATGGCAGGCCATGCGCCACCACCCCCGTGGCCCCAGTCACAAACAGTTTGTCAATGATCGCGTGATGGCCGCGCATGATCCAGATTCAGCCCCGAGGTGCATGTAGCATTTTTTGTCAAGGATGGTAGCCTTGCGCGCCGCAGGGGATATGCTGGCACCGAAGCCGTCCTTGTCAAAAACGATACAAGGTGTTCGCAGGCCTCACGAACATGACTCACGATTTTGCCCCACAGTGTATTTTGCATTGTTTTTTGACAGGGATGGTGGGGGGGGCTGCATCGGATTTGCCGCGCATGCTCCAAATGTGGAGGCAGAGTGCGGTTTGCATTGTTTTTTGGCAGGGATGGTGGGGGGCGGGTCGGCACGGTGTCCTCGTGGTTCCTGGTTGGACGCCGGTCGCTTGGGGGAGGGGGTGTATATTAATAAGGAACCGTGATAAGCCCCTCCCCGAGGGGGAAGAAGGGGGTTGGAAGAGGAAATAGCTGATCCCAGTTGTGCTCACTGCTTGCCTCACGGCATCTATATTGATTGTAGCATTGTTTTTCGGCGGATCTGCGGGGGGCCTGCGAGCGAGGGCTGGAGCTGCTCGCGGCTCTGCGGTCCATGGTGGCAATTTAGGGGCCCGCTTCAGGCCCCTGTAACCCTCGATTGCCCTCCCTGCTCATTGCCCCCAACACGTGGGCATCCACCCGACACCCGAGGAGAGAGAGAGAGAGAGAGAAAGGGAGAGAGCGAGAGAGAGAGAGAGAGTTTAACGTGGAGGAGGAGGAGGAGAAGGAGGAGGAGGGTGGTGCAGAATTTGGCTTATGAGGTAATTGCTGTTGCAGCGGCCGTCCGTGATACGGAAGCGTCCGCCGCACTGAGACGGTGCCCGTCGCCGTGGCAGGAAAGAGTCGTGCAGGCGCGACGATCATCTGCCAGCGCTTGAAATCGAAGCCAGGTCTGGAGGGTCTGGTCGCCTGTCCAGGGCCTCGATCTTCCCAGACGGGGCCCGGCAGGGGGGCGGGAAACGATCCCCTTCAGGGAAGACGTACCCCCATCTGGGGAGCTGCGCGGGGCGGCCGGGAGGCCACCTCGAGGCTCCAGTCTGTTCCGATTTTGTCCCGGTGGCTCATCCATCCAATCCGTCGCCTCAGAAACACGTGCTTGAATTTGCACTACCATTACAGTCGGGGCGCTGAAGAAGGAACCCTTCTCGTTGGGGAAGGGGCTCGGTGTTCCTTGATTGTTGAACTATGTGCCTCAGGTTTTCCTGAGGCTTTCCATGGGAAATCGAAGTTCAACTTATGGAAAATAGGGGCCTCGTTCCTTATTTAGGGTTCCTTAGGTCAAGGCCCCGACTACTCGGAGAACATGACCCGGCATAAACATCATTTCTCGGAGGTCCGCGCAGATTCCTCGGATCGGCGTTGGAGCCCCCAGGCGGCGCCTCTGGCGCTGCCCCTGTCGCGCTCCGCGTGCCTGGGGGGGGTCCAGCTCCAGTCCAAGACATCCGCGCGGACCTCACAGAACGTGCGTTTATGCCGTTCGTGGTTCTTCTATGTGCTTCTTCATGTGTGTCCGTTGTCTTGGCATCGCTCGGACGTGTGTAATTTTCCTTCGGCGAGGACCATCGAGGAGCATCCTTGATCATTTGGCGAAAAACCCACGCACGAAACCGAAACAAGCACAGGGAATTGACGTCCGAGCGATGGCCAGTTGTCACTGTAGCCCTCCAGTGCCTACAGCGCACCTGTCTCCGCTTCGTCGCCCTCGCCCCTTCACGCTTCCAAGGGCGCTGCAGGGGTGGGGGACAGTTTCCTCCATCCTCCCTCGAGCTTGCCAGCTTTCTGTTCTAGAAGGGCGCGCGTAAGGTCGGCGGGGGCTACCACGAGGTCCCCTTGCGCAGCTGGACCGCGCTTTCGATACCCCCAGTCCTTGCCCCTAAGAGAGCCCTGGCCTCCCCTACGTCGCTACAGCTTTTCTACGCGTCCAAAAAAGGGTTTTCTACCATCCAAAAAAGGGTTTCTATGCCACCCAGAGCACCTCCTGGACCGAAAGGCACAGGAGGGGAGGTCCAGATGTATTGCTGGCCGCCTTTCGTAGGTTCTAGTCTCTGGCCTATGTTGTGCTTACGCGCAAGAAGTCTGGCATCCCTGCCTGGACCACGATCAGCGCAGATCGCGGGCTGCGCGTGTCCTGCCTCGTCCGTAGGGGCGGACTGCAGACTGTCACGGCTTCCAGATGTCCTGCGCGATTACCAAAGGGGTCCAATGGCAGCGAGCGGGATAACCCAGGGCACATCAGGATAGCCATCACCATAGCTGTTCATCCTTATCATCTTATCTGCATCCGCTGCGGCAAAACTGGGTGGATGTGCACCGGGGAACCTTAAGAGCCATTTTTGCTCACGGGGATCCAATGCGAGCGCAGCTGGGCACATGGCTTTGCATCGGAGGCTGGCGGAGCCTCGCCTTCGTTCTCGGACTTCCTTTCGCCTCCACTGAGGAAGCTTCCGCTGGTGCTTTGTCGCCTTGGATTCTGGGGCTGGACACTGGCGCTATGACCCTGGCGCAGGCTGGTGACCCAGAGTCGCAGGAACTGGAGAAGCGGGATTGGTCACTCTTCTTTTCGGAGAAGCTGGATTCAGGAGGCACGGGCCACTCTGGAAACTTCTCTGCCGCGCACCACCGTGCTGCTCACCAGTATGAGTTTAGAGCCGCGGAAGAGACGCGCAGCGGAGCGGTAGGATCTTCACAAGAAGGATCCGATCTTCCTGATGCCAGCAGCAGATCGCTGAGTTCCAGCGATTGTTTCAACGGGCCGAATTGCTACGAGCCCCACTTCGAAGTCCTGGAGGCCTCCGGCTCGTCACCGAGCGCGCGTGCTGGGATGCGGGTGGCGTTGCACAACTCCTCGGGCGCGATGTTTGTTTTTGGCGGCACCACCTCCGACGACTTTCTCAATGATATGTATGTCTACAAGCTGCTGGAGCACACGTGGGTCCTCTGTCGTACGAACGGAGACCCGCCTCCACAGGTGCTGCACCCCACGATTGCCCTTTGGGAGGCGGAGTATACGCTCTTTTTGTTTGGAGGCGTGGACGCCCTCGGTGATACGCCAGTCATCGCAGAAGCCTCCGGCGAGCCGCTGCCGCCGCCCCTTTTCTCATTTCCGCAAAACTTGTGTGGCCGAAGCGTTGGGCCAAACTTTGGCCAAGCTACTGGCTTGTGTGCTTTAAGGCGTTGCAGAAACATAGGAAGGACTGCAGTGAAGACGCTAAAGTATGGGCCACTTTGGGCTCAGGAGGGACTCTGGTTTCGGGCCGCCTCTTAGATCTAAGTCGTGCAACTTGTTCGTTGCCTAGGCTCGCTGTGGCCAGAAAACCCCATTCGTTCCTTGTATGGCGTCCCTTATGGTAGCACGATGGCTGTATTGCGGAAGCCAGTTTCCGGCACCTGTTTTTGTTGGTGGGCACATTCGGAGGACCCGTGTAACCACCAAATCCATCTTCGGGGGCCCCGGCGCTGACTTGGGAGCATCCTGGACCATCTCGGGGGCCTCCTGGGCCACCTGGGGCTTCTGTCCCTTTTAGGACTGCCTTGAGGACCGCTTGGCAGGCTCCAGACGGCAGCTTTTGGGGTACTTCTTGTGCCATCTTGGTCACCCCGTGGGCCAGCTTTGGGCGGTCTGTCTTTGGCCGTCATGGCCTGCAGTGGGGCCGTCTTTGGACCCTCTATGGCCCTATTGGGCCCCCTCTGGACCCTCTTCGGGCGATATGGGGCCTAAATCTTGATGAGCAGACATGAAAGAAGGATGTGTCTGTCGCTGCCGATGGGCGTATGAGGTGCATCCGGGTGCGTCTCTCGCGGCTTGTGTTCGATATTTAAAGCAACTCGGGGACTTTTGGGCTGCGCTCACGGCCTCTTTGCCCGTCTTTTCGGCCTCGTGCGTCAGGCTCAGGGGCTTGACGGGTGCATCTTAGAGCATTTTGATATGGTATTGAGGCAACTTTGGCAGTGTTCGCAACATCTTGGGGCCCAGATCGAAGTCAGAGAGAAGGGTGGACAGACACAAAGGAAATTGTGGTGGGTTGCCAAAGTATTCTTGGAAACATGGAAATGGGGATGTGTTGGGTACAAAGCGATTGAAGGGGGGACAAAGCGATCGTCTTAAATCCTGCACTGTAAGAAAGGATCCGGGGAGGGTGATGTCTCGTTCCCCGCGGGGTGGACCGAGAGGTGGTCTGGCACGGGTGGTCGTAGCAAGAGTGTTCGTGCACCCTGCGCACAGTGTCTCGCGCGCGGGTAGCCGGCGCGCGAGAAGGTGTACAGTGTCGGAGAACGTCAGTGGGGCGTATCAGTCTGTTCGTGTCAGTCATCTGTGTGCTGGCAGCGTGCCGTGTAGCAGTTCGGTATTTGGGCAGCGTTCGGTCCCATGTCAGCGTCAGCTTCAATTCTTTTGATTTGGCAGAACGAGAGTTGGCACTTGCATTAAGTCGGGCCTGTCCCTCTACAGAAGGAACATTCAAAAATAGTCAAAACATCGTAGGTGGACGATTTTATGCTATTTTTGATCATTTGGGAGCGTTTTTCTAATATTCTTTCCGTCCAAAATCCGCCATACTTGTATGGTGGAGCATCTTAGTATTGACTGAGGTGTTCTGGCCTCCAGCCCGTTTATTCCCCTCGTGCGACTCTTGCGCGCGGGTTCTGCTCTGTTCTGTCGGGGCCCTTGTCTGGACTTTCTTGGAGGCCATCTTCCCACGCCAGTCGGCATCAGGCAAAGCAGCACTTCGAAAAACCAGAGCAATAAGGTTGGCAGCGGGCGACAGGGATGGAGGGGGCGAGGGGCCCGTGGAGAGGTTTTGGAGAGCTTTGGCACGGCCAGTCCTGCTGTGGTGAAGCAAACAAGGGGGCGTCGGGTCGACCTCGCCTACGGGTCATTCTGGCCGCTCCCTTCGAACATCTCGGTTCTTAGTGTTTTTCTCACGACCTCTTTGGTTCTTCGAAGCGGGTTTGGGGGACCATGTCTAGGTCTCTGCGGTACATCAGAAGCCGAGAAGGCGAGACAGAGCAAATTGATAGGGGGCTCTGTTTTTACCCCAAAAAGCTGTGCTGACCGGGGTGCTGTTGTGATAGAAGAACGTTCTGGCCGCGGGACCCCCGCACCGAGACATCCTCACGCGAATGAGGTGGTCCCTGCCATTTTGCCCCAGACATCCTGTCAAATCTCGTTTCCGAGTTGGCTGGGGTTGAGCGATTCGCCTGAGACATCCTCGGAGCTCTGAGCTTCGAGATGCCGTTCGCGAGGCGGTCCTGCCCGCTTCGCCTGAGACATCCTCGCAACTCTGGGCTCCGCGATGCCGTTCTCGAGGTGGTCTGGCCCGTATGGCCCGAGACATCCTCGCAACTCTGAGCTTCCAGGTGCCCTGACCTGAGGTGGTCCACCCAGTCTCGCCGCCCAGCTAGAAGCTCAACAACCTCCTGGCCTTCTTGTGCCTCGCTTGATCCCCAAACGGCCTTGCTGACTGGGGTGCTGCTGTGACTGAAGCTAATTCTGGCCGCGGGACCCCCGCACCGAGACGTCCTCACGCAACTGAGGTGGTCCGGGCCATTTCGCCTCAGACATCCTCCCCTCGTTTCCGAGTTGGCGGGGGTTTGTGGATTTCGCCTGGGACCTCCTCGAAACTCCTAGCTTCGAGATGCCCTTAGCGAGGTGGTCTGGCCCGGGTCGCCGGGCGTGCGTTTGCTCTCGGGAGGTGCCCCGCCTCGGGCGCTCGCGCGGCCCAACCTCAGGAGGGGGCGGCGGCAGGGCGTCACATCGCGGCCAGCCTTACAGAATGTGGAGGAGGAGGAGGAGGAGGAGGAGGAGGAGGAGGAGGACCACGAGGAGGACCACGAGGAGGAGCACGGCGACGATGCGTAATGGGTGAACGGGTTGATGAGGTACAGTCAGTGGAAGGCGAGGAGGAGGGGGAGGAGGAGGCCGAGGATGCTGACAATAGGGCGGAAGAGACAATGGAACCAGGAGGATGCGGAGGACGCTGCTAAGTGGGACAAGGTATAGGAAAACGAGGAGGCAGAGAGCATCGGGAAGATGAAGAGGATGATGATGAGGAGGAGGAGGAGGAGGAGGAGGGGGAGGATCAGGATGGAGACGAGGGACGGAGGTGGAATGTGAGGAGAGGGGGGGACGGAGGTGGAGTGGGCGGGCAGACGGGAGAGGCGAGAGGGAGGATTTCCAGGAGGAGCACGTAGACGTAAGTCGGGCCTGTCCCTCTACAGGAGGAATATTCAGAAATAGTAAAAAAATAGTCTGGGGACGATTTTTTTTTTGAATATTTTTGGCCCACTTTCGAGCATTTTAAATCTATTTGTAATTTTTCCTCGAAAATCCCCCTGTAGGGGGACAGGCCCGACTTAGACGTAGACGGCGATGACGACGACGACGACGATGACGACGGGCCATGCCGATCAAGAGAAGGAGGACGATGACTGGCGGACGCGCGAACAGGCACGGGATCCACCCTGGCGCGAACAACGCCGTTTGGGGATACTGGGCCGTGGTTAGATGTTTCAGAATGCTGCCCCCAGGGGGGTCGGCGGCAGAGACGGACCCTCCTTTCGCAGTCTCAAGCAATTCCCTTTCTTCCGGCAGCTCCGAGATGAGTCTAGCCCGCTTCAGAGCGTTCCGAATGGCTCTGAAACGGCCGCGGCACGCGATACATCTTCCAGAGCTGCCAGTTCTCAAAGATCCTCGAGTTATCTTCATCCGAACTTTCTCCAACAGGTGCTTGCTCTGAGGGTGTCCTTCCCACAGGTTTGAAGAATTTGGCGACAGATCTGGTCAGCTCTCGGTGGGCGGGCGGGTCCCTGGACTCCCGGTGTCGGATGTCGGTCTGACCTCGGTGGCTGGCGCCCTGGCCGGGATCCTGGATCCCATGCATTGTACGAGACCGCTTCACAAAAATTGTACGGACACCGGACCCCATGCATTGCACGGGAGCCCAGAACCCGTGCATTGGAACTCATTGTATCTTCTGGTGCGTTGTGTGCGACGGACTTGTGATCCTCTGGTGATGACGGCCGTGACGTGGGAGGGGAAGGGGGGGCGGGGGCCAGTCCCGTCACGATTCGCACCAGCGCCGCCTGGGATGGCTCAGGGTTGGCCCATTCTCAGACGGCGCCGGCGCGAGTCGGGACGTGACCAGGGGGGGGAGGGGGAAGAGGTGCGGGGCCGGTCACAGGCGGCATCGCGAGTCATTTTTTAATGGGCTCTAAGGTTTCTGGGTTCTCGAGTTTGTGGTTGCACTGTCAGAATGAGAGAGAGAGAGAGTCTGTAGTAGAAAACAGAGGGTACGTAGATATCATAGTACAGAGAAGAGTTGGACAGCAAATGGTGGAGGGTAAAGGCTACAGGTAAGGGAGGAGAGCGCGATGAGAGGGTAGACGAAATAAAATGGGTAGCAGCGGAAAGAGAGAGGGAGAAAGAGAGTGAGAGAGTGAGTACTTGCGACGACGGTCACAATGAGAGAGTATGTTCTGCACAGACTGGAGAGTACGCAGCAGAGAGCATAGAACAGAGCGATGTAGATACATATATATATATATACATATAGTGAGAGAGAGAGAGAGAGAGAGAGAGAGAAAGAAACAACAAGCAGAGAGTAGAGGTTGGTTAATACATTGCAGAGCGAGCCGAGAGGGCTGATTGCGCAATCCGAGTAGAGAGTAGAGGTTAGAGAACAGATGGCAGAGCGAGTTGGGAGCGTATACTACGCAAGCAGAAAGGATAATATATTTATATATGTATATATATATATATATATATATATATATATCGGAGGTGAGGGGGTGAGATCGAAGTGGAACGGAGAGCCCCCCTACCGGGAAATCGTTTCGGTTTCGTGTTCGTGCGTGCCGTGCGGGCGAGGCGAAGCTGCGTGGGCGGGCGAGAGGAAAGTCTCCTGTGGCTGAGGCGCGGCCGGACCAAATGATTCTCCGCCGGGCGGCCGGTGGCGCGCGGTGTCCCGGCGGTGTCCCGCCGGTGTCCCATGTGGCTGAGGCGCGGCCGGACCAAATGACTCCCTTCCGGGCGGCCGGTGGCCCGCGGTGTCCCGCCGGTGTCCCGCGGTGTCCCGCGGTGTCCCGCGGTGCCCGCGGTGTCCCGCTGGTGTCCCGCGGTGTCCCGCGATGATGATGATGATGATGATGATGATGATGATGATGATGATGATGATGATGATGATGATGATGATGATGATGATGATGATGATGATGATGATGGTGATGATGATGATGATGATGCTGCTGCTGATGATGATGACGATGATGATGATGATGGTGATGCTGATGATGATGATATGAGGACAATGATGATATGATGATGATGGTGTCCCGATGATGATGATGATGATGATGATGATGATGATGATGATGATGATGTCGATGATGATGATGATGATGATGATGACGATGATGATGATGATGCTGATGGTGTCCCGATGATGAGGATGATGATGATCATGATGATGTTGATGATCATGATATTGACGATGATGGTGTCCCGATGATGATGAGTATGATGAGGTTGATGTTGATGATGCTGATTATGATTGTGTCCCGATGATGATAATGTTGATGATTTAGATGTTGATGATGATTATGGCGTCCCGATGATGATGATGATGATTATTCTGATGGTGATGCTGATGATGTTGATGATGATGGCGTCCCGATGGTGATGATGATGATGATGCTGATGTTGGTAATGGTGATGATGATGGTGCCCCGTTGATGACGATGATGATGATGCTGATGATGATGTTGATGATGCTGATGCTGATGATGTCGATGATGAGGATGAGATGATGATGATGGTGTCCCGACGATAATAATAATAATGATGATGATGATGATGATGATGATGATGATAATAACGATGGTGATTATGATGGTGTCCCGATGATGCTGCTGATGATGATGATGATGACGATGACTGTGTCCCGATGCTGCTGATGATGATGATGATGATTGTGATGATGGTGATGATGATGATGATGATGATGATGATGGTGGTGTCCCGATGATGCTGATGACCGTGATGATGATGATGTTAGTGTTGATGATGAGGACGGTGTCCCGATTATGATGATGTTGGTGATGATGATGTTGATGTTGTTGTTGATGATGATGACGTTGATTGTGAGAGCGGTTGTGATATCGATAGTGAGATCGATAGTGAGACCGAATGTGATATCGATTGTGAGATCGATTGTGAGATCGATCGTCAGATCAATTGTGAGATAGATCGAGTGAGATCGATTGTGAGATCGATCGAGCGAGATCGATCGAGCGAGACCGATACTGAGATCGATAGTGAGATCGATAGTGAGACCGATCGAGTGAGACGTTGGTTCCCCCCCCGAACCTCCTTATCACCCGAAGGGTGGTCGTATAGGTATATATATATGTATATATATATAGAGAGAGAGAGAGAGAGAGAGACAGACAGAAAGACAGAGAGACCGAGAGACCGAGAGACCGAGATACGGGGCGACAGAGGGCAGGCGCGAAGTACCCGCGAACGTCTCAGAACATCCATACTGGTTGTGGCATCTCTCTGGCGTGCTACGGTGGGGGCGCTGGTTCGGGAATGTGCCCCCGAGGCTCCAGGCCCTGGAAGATTCCCTGCCTGAAGAGGGCGGCGGTGATAGCCACGGCCAGCTCTCAGTTTGCGTTCCACCGGCGGCCCTGGACTCCGCATGGAACGGGTTTTTGCCGAATGCCCCCCTCCCGATTCTTGCATCACCATCGGTCTACGTGTCCGTCGCGGGCTTCCCGCCTATGAGGCCCCACAGCGTCCTGCGCCGTCGTGGGCGCGGGCGCCCCGCACAGATCCCAGAGCAAGTTCACGTGGGCGTCAGTCGGAATTGCGGCCGATCGAAATTGTACAACGGACGCACGGCGAGGTCACGTCCTCCGACTGACCAGTTCTGCGACATGGAGAGCAAAACGAAATCATGGAGAGCAAAACAAAAAGACATGGTCACGTCCTCGGACATGGAGAGCAGAGATCAAAACAAAAACGCATGCTGAACGACCATGTGGGTCAAAAGGCGAACCCGGGTGTTCCGAGCCAAACGGCGGGAATGCACCGATTTGGGCCAAATCTGAGGCCCGGGAAGGGGGCTCGAAGGAGCTCCACCCTCCTCGTGTTCCCCAGTCTCGCCCCGGCGAACAGCCGCGACGTCGAGGTATTGGGCCAGCGCGCACATGTTAGTTGCCGATCTTCGGATAAGAAAGCTGCAGGGACATAAAACTTCGGAGTTTCGCGAGGATTTCCTGGATCGACGCTGAGCCCTCCTGGCTGCACCTCTGGCGACGCCCTTGGCGCGCTCCCCGCGCTCTGGCGACGGGAGTCCAGCGCCGATCCACGAAACCCGCGCGGACCTCCGAAAGTTTATGCTTATGTTGATGTTGCTTCCTCTATCCAGAGGTTGTGCGTAAGAAGTTGCCGATCTTGGACGTTTTCGGACGCTCTCCAGGACCATCTCGGAAGCCGCTTGGGGGACGTGCGCTGTCGAGGCGGCCTCGGGTGCCAATCTTGGGGCGTCCTGCAGCTTTCGGGGGCATCCTGGGCCATCTTGGAGGCGTCTTAGGCCCGTCTGCGGGGGGTCTCCTTGGGCCATCCTGCGGGCTTCTTGAGCAGTGGGGCCCTTCTTGTGCTACGTTGGGCTTTCCTGAGGGGTCATATTGGGGCCAACTGGATGCCATGCGGCGAAGCCCGAGGCACATCGGAAGCAGAAGAGGGGAGGATGGGCAAACTCACAGAAATGGGAACACCCCGGGGCCTCTTCGGGGCACCTGGGGCTAGCTCAGGCACTTTCTCAGGCGTCTCTAGGCTATCATTTCGGTGCACATCTTCTTTGGGCTAGCTTGGGGGCCATCGCAGGGCCAACCCGAGGCCATGTGCAGGCCGCCATCGGCATTAGCAGAGCCAGCAGCCGAGCCAGCAGGTGACCCAGCAGCAGCCGTTCGCAGAACTGGCAGCAGGCAGCAGTAGCAAGCAGTTTCAACCACCTCCGATATATTACGCGTGCTCTTCGGATGCAGCGCTTCTCACCGGGCTGTGCCCGACATAGATACCTTGGGAGCACGGATCCGTTGTGTGTTGTGTGGGGTTTTGGCTTTTGGGAGCGCGGTCCCATTCTGCACTTGCCAAGAAGCTCGTGGCCTTGGGAGCCCAGCCCAATTGCGTTTAGTACCATGGCCCCGCAGTCGCGGATGGAAGTGAGGGGGCGGCGGGCGATTACAAGATTACAAATGCGAAGCAGCACGCCGCAGGCGCCGGCCCTTTAGCACATTAGACAAAGAGCTTTCCGCAGGCGCCAAGGTTATTTCTCCGAGCCATGTGTCTGCATTTTATCTATCTTCAGCAGGTCGGCGGTCAAATCGCGCGGCGGGTCGCGGGTGGATGGTGGGGTGGGTTTCGGTGCAGGTCGTGGGTGGGCCGCAGGTGGGCCGCCGAGCAGGTCGCGGGGTGGTCGCGGGGTGGTCGCGGGGCGGGGCCGGCAGCATGCTGAACAATCAGAGCATTCATCAAGGGCTCCCTCGAGGGCGCGAAGTTATTCGCGCTTCGCGCTTCGCGGTCCTCGTTCCTTCTCCCCCTCCTCCTCGTCCTCCTATTCTCCCTTTGGGAGGGCGGCGCGAGAGCGCGAAGTTATTCGCGCTTCGCGCTTCGCGCAGCGTGAAGCGCGAAGTTGGGAGCCCTAGATTCATCTGCAGTGGGAACCCCTTCAGCCACGCACCCAGGGACAATATAGGACCGCGTGGCCCCCTCATTACCATTTTGCCATGGTCGTGGCTCTGAGCGCGCGGATCCATTGCATTCTATTGAGGGTCATCTCTGCGGGAGCGCAGGTTCAAGGTTGGCTAGCGTTTTGGGAGTATCAGCCGAACGATTAGCACAGGAGTGCGGTCCAAGGTGCACGGTCGTTGTCGTGTATCGGGGAACCAGCGTATGTTTGAAATCTCCATGTCGAGCCCCGGAATTCTCCCAATTCGATTCCAGAGTATGTCAAGATGCAGCCACGAGCGAGAATTAGTGTTCCGAGGGTTTCTCAGGACCGCCGAAGAAGCTTCGAATAGGTTAGAAGTTGGACCAACATATCCACGATATACCCTAATCAAGGCATCCAAAGGCGCCAGAAAGGTCCCACACACAGCTCACATCGTTGAGACATGTGACGTTGCATGGCGTGCTTTGTTTCTAAAGTTGAAGATGGCTTCGGTAGCTCTGCTGGGGTGGCCCAACAGCCCAAGACGATCGAAGATAGCAGAGAGCCCGAATGATTTCAAGACGGGCCGAGAGGGAGCTCGGTCCAAGAGTGCAAGAGAGCTCCAAGACGGCACACGAGGGCGCCAAGAAGGCGCCAAGACGAGAGCACCGGAAGTGCCACAGGACGCTCAAGGGCAGCTAAAGGGCCTAAGATACCTTCAAGAGGCCCCACGATGGCCCAGAAGGGCCCCGAAATCGTTTCCAGGCAGCGCGAAAGTGCGCAACACCTGTTCCGAAGGTCCTCAACATTTCCCAACAGGCCTGAAGCGTGTTTTTGCGCCCATGGACGTTTGCAGCAGCGCTTCCCGTGGTGGCCAGAATCGGAGTTACCATGACCGCGGCCCTTGCAGTTGGGAAGCTTTGTATCTTCACGTGCACCGTAGATGGGGGCCATAACCCGATAGACACACAGTCCATGCCAGGCATTGTTTGGGCCGTTTGGACAGACTGCACAGACGAAGTGTGAAGCTCAGTGAGCGAGGACCAATTTGGCAGTTTTTGGGTCCTTGTGCCCATGCCGGTGTTGCTAGGTTGTTCAGGCACGCAGTGTGTGGCTGAATGGGTGACTTCCAAGATACGGTGCTCAAGCCGAAGGTGCAGAGTTGCTGAACACTCCGACCGCGTAGCATTGTGGCCCCTACGAAGGGTCCTGGTGGACTTTGTATAGCTACACTGTCAGTGACGACACCATCGTGAATTCCGAGATTAGTGGTTCTTGGGCATCTGTTGTTTATGGTGGGTCGACGCCGACTGGACGATACGGTCACACGGCGGTCTTCAATCAGGCCACCTCCACCATGCTCGTCTACGGGGGTACGACGTTCTTCCTTGATCTCCAGAGTGACCTGTGGAGCTACAGTGCCAGTTCGCAGACGTGGGCACAGCTGGCACCAGGCGGATCTGCGCCTGCAGGGCGCTACTACCATGCCGCAGCGTGGGCAGAGGCTCAGCAGAAGATGTACATCAGTGGCGGGACGACTATGGATTCCTCCTATCAGTCCAGCATGTTGAGCGACCTCTTCTGCTATGATGCATCTGCTAATATTTGGACTGAGCTTACCACGCTGTCAGCCCCATCGCTGGACCCCCCAGGACGCTGGGGCCACTCAATGGTCTGGCTTCCCCAGGCCGAGCGTCTCATTGTCTTTGGCGGAACCACTGGCATGAACTCTGCCGACGGGCCATCGGACACCGTGTTCGGCTTTACTGCCGCGACCCATGTGTGGGAAGAGATTTCGTACACAGGCACGATCGCTGCGCGTGACGACCATGCCGCTGTGTGGTATGATGGCGCGTACCAGACCACAGGCGACTCGGAGTGGCACGGCCATGAAGCCATGCTTGTGTTCGGCGGTGTCGGCACATCGTCGAATCTTCTCGGCGATCTAGCGCACATGTGGTTCAGACCAGCCACAACAACGAGCGCTACATCTACAACCGCAACGTTCACCTCAACGACGCAGTCCATGACAAGAACGAGCGCAACGCAGCCCCGGTGCTTCAACGGGCCCAACTGCTACGACCCCCACTTCGAGGCGGTGGAGGACGTCGCGCCGCCTGGAGCGCGCTACGAGCCGCGGGCGGCGGTCCACCAGTCCCTGGTAGCCTGGTTTATCTTCGGGGGCAGCAGCGCCGCGGGCTACCTCAACGACATGTACGTCTACAAGGTGCTGGAGGGCGCATGGGCGCTCTGCCCTCCGCACGGGGCGCAGCCGGCGGGCCTGTACCAGACCAGCCTGGCCCTCTGGGAGGCAGAGTACACGCTCTTTGTGTTTGGTGGCATGGACGCCGACTCCGTGGTGACCAACAGCATTTGGAGCTACACCGTCTCCAACGACACCATCAGCTCCGACCAGGAAATCGATGGCTCGTGGGCCTTGCTTTCACCCAGCGGGTCTTTGCCGATTGCCAGGTATGGTCATACGGCAGTCGTTAATGAGGCGACGGCTAGCATGTTGCTTTTCGGGGGCGTAACTGGAACGTTCACCAGCCTGAACGACTTGTGGAGCTACAGTTGCAATGAGAAGTCTTGGATGCGGTTGTCTCCAAGCGGTACTGCCCCGCCAGAGCGGTACTACCACTCGACAGCATGGTGGCCCGACCAGCAAAAGATGTTCGTCTCTGGCGGCCTCGGACTGGACTTGAGCACATTCGTCTTCTCACAGTTCGCAGACATGTACATGTATGACGCAGTCGCAAATGCCTGGTCAGAGTTAACGCCCAGCGGACTCGGAATCGGAGCCCCCGGGCTCTACGGTCACTCGATGGTCTTCATGACGGACGCAGAGCAGTTGCTCGTCCTGGGTGGGTATCAGGGCGTGTCGGCCACAACGAAGGACACCCTTTACGGCTACGATGTAGCGAGCAGAACTTGGTCGGAGCTGGCCAAGACGGGTGAGACCGAGGAGCGTGTAGATCACGTTGCCATGTGGTACCAGGGCGGCTACAATGTAGACGGGCACACCGAGTATGACAATTTCGAGTCGATGCTTGTGTTTGGTGGGCTGGAAACTTCTGCGAGCACGCTTACCGGTAGGCTGACCCGGATGTGGTGGAAGCCTGCCACGACGACGACAATGACGTCTACTGCCACCGAATCAACCACGTCGTTGACGACAACTGTCTCCACCACGAGTGTAACGGCGTATGGGTGTTTCCACACACCGGACTGTTTTGACCCTCACTTCGAGGCAGTGCAGTCGACTGGAATCTCACCCGGGTGGCTCGAAGGCGCGAACTCCGCCGTGCGCAACGCCTCAGCCGCGCTTTTCATATCCATTTGTCTTCGGCACACCCCGCCACGACAGCGCAACAGCAACAACGGAGGTTGATGCAAGGAACGTTCCACTTCAGCGCCCTGTCTTCTTTGGCTTGCGTTTGAGAAGATCATCATTGTCCGCAGGGGTCTTCTCAGAGGCCCGTGAGGGGCCCGTCGGGAGTTTCGAAGCCGATTCGGGCATGCTTTGTTGATCGAGCTCTCCCGAAGAGCTTCGGCTAATCCATCCCATGTAGGGACGTCTGGGCGAGTATCGGTGCCGTCTTGGAGCCCTTTGGCGGGCGCATTTGAAGAGGTTCTAGAGCCGTCTCTGGACCGTCTTGAGGTCCTCTAGGGGTCACTTTGAGAGATTCTCGGGGCTTAATGAAGCGTTCCTGTACCGACTTGAGACTTGAGGACCATTGAAACAACAAAGCATCAAGTTCCCTGGGTTGTTCATTTCTCTTCTGGTTTCTCATGGCATCGCAAGCGGCCTCCTTGGGCGCCTCTTTGGGGATCGTTTGGGCCTCTTGGGTTCTCTTTCAGCGGGCGCCGAGCAGTACAGGCACCACGCAGGCGGTGTGCGCCGTCTTTGGCCGACTTGGCGCCGTCTGCAGGCTGAAGAGGGACTCCAGAAATCAAAACTAGAGGGTGGTTTTGTAGGAGGACGCGCGTTGATAAGGGGCGGCTGCGGCCTTTGAAAAACCATAAAGACGTCATTTGACAACCAACCAGCATTCTACCACTATGCTATCGCGCGGGCGCGCTTGCGGATATGGTGGTCACAGGTATGACCAATTGCTCACTAACGACCTCTACGTCTACAAGATCTTGGAGAGCCAGTGGGCAAGATGCCCACAGCAAGGAGCGAACATTCCCGCCGAGGCAATGTACACCACCATGGTTTTGTGGGAGGCTGAGTACAAGCTGCTCGTGTATGGCGGACTGACTCAAAGCTTTGCGTGGTCAAGAGATGTGTTCATTTACACTGTCAACAGCGACACCATCACGAATGGTGAAATTGATGGCGAATGGTCAGTAGTTCCAGCCGGAAGCACAAATCCAGGCGGGCGAATGGGGCACGTCGCCGTCTTCAACGAGGCCACCTCCACCATGTTTGTATTCGGAGGACAGGGCTCCGACTTCCTGTTCAGGAACGACTTGTGGAGCTACGACGCCGTGTCCCAGACCTGGACGCGAAGATCTCCGGGCGGTACCATCCCAGGGGCGCGTGGCTTCCATGCGGCCGCCTGGGACGCGCTGGCGGAGAGGATGTTCGTGCATGGAGGTCAGTGGTTCGATGCGGACATGACTTTTTCGACGCGCGGCGACCTGTTCGTGTACGACACCAGGGCCGATTACTGGTGGCAGGTCTCCGCCAACGTCAACGGGATCGCAACCCCTTCGCTGTGGCAGCACGCCATGGTCTTCCTTCCCAGAACGGAGATCGGGGGCAGCCCGAGGGGAGGACGGGCTCAGGAGGGGACGCGTCGACCCCCAGTCGCCCATGCATTGCCGACACAAGACCTGACAGCCCACCCCGCCCGTGCACGTGCGAATCTGCTGTCAGGGGCCGATCCCCGATCCACCGACGATGCATCGCCGATTCCAGCTCGATGATCGTCCCCCCCCCGCCCTGGGCAGTTCCCCCCGAACGTTGCCCCTCAGGAGAGCCTGCTGCTGTTCGGCGGGACGGAAGGCGCTGACAGCACCGTCGCGGTGAACAGCCTGTATGGCTTCAGGACCAGGGGCTCCCTGTGGGAGAACCTCTCTTGGACTGGTTCTGCGCCGCCAGGCAAGTCTCCCGTCGCGGCATGGTACGACGGTTCTACCAACACTTCAGGAGCGATGGAGTGGGACCGCCACGAGGCCCTGATGCTCTTCGTAAACGATGAGCACCTGCAGATGTGGTTCAAGCCGCCGACGACGACATCCAGTGCCACATCGTCCAGCACTACGATGACCAGCACCACTACCATGTCAATGGCCACTGGGACCACCTCATTTGCGACCAGCACAGCGACCAGAGTAAGCACCTCCCAGACCAGCACAATTTCTGAAATCGTTATTGAAACTGATACCAGCAGCGCATCCTCTTGGACCAACACTAAGACTGGAACCACTACGTCCAGTACCAGAACGTCCAGCACAACGGTGACTGGCACCGCGACCATGTCCACTTCCAAAAGCACAAGCGCGACACAGACCGTCACCAAGATCAGTACCACGACAGGGACCAGCACAACCGTTAGCTCCAGCGATGCCACTGGGACCAGCACAGAGAGTGTAACCACTGCGTCAAGCACCAGAACACCCAGCACAACGGTGACTGGCACCGCGACCGTGTCCACCTCCAAAAGCACAAGTGCGACAAAGACCGTTACTAAGACCAGCACCAGCACTGGGACCAGCATCACGACTAGCTCCATCGCCTCTTCTGGGACCAACGCTGAGACTGGAACCACTCCGTCGAGTATCGGAACGTCCAGCTCCGCGGTGGCAAGCACCGCTACCATGTCTACCGCTATCAAGATCAGCTACAGTGCAACCGGCACTAGTGCTTCTGCCACTAGTTCGACCAGTTTTGGTGTGACCAGCGCAAGTACCACCCAGACGAGCACCACTGGCGTCACGATGACCAACACGCAGGCGAGCAGCAGCACTCGCAGCAGCACGGGCGAGACCATCAACAGCGCCACTGTTACCAGCACCGTGTGGAGCAGCACAAGTGCCATCAGTACAACCAGCCGCTCGAGCGCTACAGACACAAGCAGGACCAGTAGCTTCGCTCTCAGCAGTGCCAGCGGCTCGAGCAGCACAACTGGCAGTAGCTCCAGTGGAACCAGCACGTCTCAAGTTGGCGCCGCAGCGTCCGATACGAGCAGCATCCAGAGCAGCACTCCGAGCCTTGAGGCTGCACAGGTGAGCGGGTCAATCGAGTTTTGGTTCTCTGACCCAGACGCCGTTCGGAGCGGGGCGGAGGCGGAGAAGTTGCTGGTCTCGGTCGGCGTCACGATCTCCCAGGTCGTGGGCATGCCAGCGAGCTATGTCTCCGTCTGGTTCGCGGAGGGATCGCGGAGGCTCGGGGCCGCCACCCGTCGGCTCGCCGGGGGCATCCTCGAGGTGAGGTACAGCATATACGTGCCCTCGGATATCGATGCTGAGTCTCTCGGTATTGACGACGCGGAGGCGTCCTTGAATAGCGTGAGCGTCAGTTCTTTCACGTCCTTGCTGCAGAAGAACATCGACTCGAACTTTGGGGAGGCCGTGTACTCGGTTTCCGTGCTGGCACTCGACGCGGTTGTGGTTGACGACGTTCATACCGTCCCGGCAGAGCCAGACGAACGTCAGGGTTCTGCCTCGAGCGTGCTCATCATCATCGTCATTGGAGTAGGGTGTTGTCTCGGGAGCGTGTTCATCAGCGTTATGCTGTTTTCGCGCAGGCGTCGGCGTTGGGCGCTTCGTCTGGAACGCGATCGGGCTCAGAGGCAGTGCCCCCCGTCCACAGGCGCGACAAGCGGCGAGCAGGGCCCACGGGAAGACGGCGATAAGTTCGAGTTCTTCTTTGACATGGACAACGCGGACGAGCACGTTGCCGAATATGAGACTCGTCAGGAGCTCACTTCGAGCCCGTCTGCAGGCGCTGGCCAGGCCCCGGGAGAGCTCATCTTCGACATGGACAGTCCGGACGTGTACCTCGGCGAGCATGAGGAGGACCTGGCTCCAAGCTTGAGGATGCATGTCCCAAGGCTGCATGGCGCAGCTGGCGGCGCCGATCAGCCAGCACCAGAAGGAGGCGACAGGTTAGAGTCCATTTTCGACGTGAACGACACGGACGTACCCCTTCCCGAGCATCGCCAGGATTCAAGAGGTCCGCCTGGAGATGGTGACCGGCCACCCCCAGCAGAAGGCTGTATATCAGACTTCGTTTTTGATATGGACGACCTGGAGGAGAAACCCCTTGCGTATCACCAGGGAACTGATTTCGCGTCCGAGCATATCTAGCTTGAGAATGCCTAGCTACCCAGCTCGCGCGGAGGCAGCCACCATACTCCAGGAACGCTGGGCTTACACATGGATGGCGGTGTCAGCCAGTGAGACCCTGCGATTCTAGAGATCGCTGACACGTTTATGACGAGTCCTTAGACAAGAACTGACTTTAGGCTTAAGCTTCGTCCAAAGCGCCGGAGTGAACTGCGCACTTGAATTGCCATCGTCCTCCCTCCCTTTTCCCTCTGCATCCTCTTCCACTGGCCGAGTGGCCAGCGATGTAATCGTTGTGTGAGCTTCACATGTGCTGCACATGTTCCGAAAGGAGACGCCCTTTTCGAGATATACAGCTGCCTGCGGCAAGCCTTCGCAACCGAACAGCAACCAGCAGCGCAGTAGGAATGCATTTGAGGTTGAATTCCCGCAGACGGCTGCAAATGATGCACAGGCGGCTCTGCAGAGCCGTACTGCGACAACCCCCACTTCGCTAGGCACGGAAAGGCCGCGCACGCGTGCACCTTGACCTTCTTGGGGCAGGTTTCGCCGCTACGCGGCCCAGAATATTCGCGACCCCTGCGGTGCCGTACTTCGTTTTCCTGGGTGGGGCGCCGCTGTCGTAAGGGAGCCACTCCACCTCGAAATGCATTATGTTCGCCTCGCCATACCATGGCCCCCCACGGGGACATCCATGGGCGCCCGCGAGGCGAAGGGTTCGGGCCAGAAACGCAGCTGCGAGCTACAGAAATAGGAAGAGGGAGGGGGGGAGGGAGGAGCAGTTGCAGACGCGGATCAACGAATGCATCGACAAATATTTGTTTTTTTGGAGACACCCGGCGGAAGCCCCAATCATCGCGCGGAAGCTGACACTAAAGCACGCGGCGACGCTTCCCTCCGCCTGCCTCCACACACCGCCTCGCTCTCCGCGCTTACACGCGCCCCCAGCAACCCCGCAACTGCGGACGCTCGTAAATGAATTAGCCTCGCCGCCACTGCGGCCCCCGCGGCTCGGGGCCTCCGTCGAACAGATCGGGGGCTCGGAGCTCGAGGGAGTCCGGAGCCGCCTGCCTCCGCTGCCGCGGCGCGACGGCCTCCCTCTTGTAGCCGTAGCCCTTCTGCACCCGCGCCGACTGCCACCTCTTCTTCGTAAGTTTCTTTACCTCCATCTCGATCTTCTTGCCCTTGTCGGAACACTCTCGCGCGATGGTCGCGAGCCAAGCGCCCTTGAGGTCCCAGACGACGGCGGAGCCATTCCCGCCTCCCCGCGCCTGCGCCACGGGGGAGCCGAAGGGCTCCCCGCTGCGCGCCTGCGGGGTTGCAGGGCCAACCGCCGTTTCCCGGCCCCTGTCCGCGACTGCGGCCTCGTCTCTGTCACCGTCGTCGATGTCGGGGACACCGCCGAGGCTCAGGTCGTCCTTGATCACGTCGATCAGCCACCCAAGGTCTGCAGCGTCCAGTCCAGCCGCAGCGCCAGCCGCGTGAGGCTGGCAATCCACACGTGTCGGGCTTCCGTGTCGCGTGGGAACTTCAGGCGGCGCTTGGCGGGCATCGGCACGGTGTGCACAGGGGGCACCGCCCTCTCTCGGGTCTCGCCCCTGGGGCAGGCCACTCGTCGACTTGCGCAATCCCGTCTTCTGCTTCTTGGCGTCGGGCGGAGTCGCGCCCTACGGCGGCGGCATTGGATAAGGAACGTCTTCCTGGGACCCAGGCCCTGGCGCATTCCTTGTTGTTTCAAGGCGAGGTGGGTGGCCCACGTTTACGTTTGGCCGCCCATCGGTCGCGAGACCCTGGGTTCCTTATCGAAGGCATCCTTATCTAAAACGTCCACCGTACCTTGACATCCTTGTCGGGGACGGGGGCGGTCTGCGCAAGCCAACCTCCACTGATGCACAACACCCTGTCCACATGCACAGGGCTCCAACCATCGGAAGTCGGCATGTGCGCTACTGCGGCCTACTCGGCCGCATCGGCGGGCAAGCAGGGGGCGCGAGCAGCGGAGTCGCGCGCGGTGGAGGAGCTCTTGGGCCAGACGGCGTCAGGAGTGAATCCCTCGGAAAGCATCTTGCTTCATCATCGTTCCCCTGGCGCGCATACGCCGAGCGTGCGGGGTGTCGTTCAAAGCGGTGTGCGTTCAAAGCGGTGCCAGGGCACTGCTTTGAACGTCTGGGGGAGGAGGAGGATGAGGAGGGAAATGTCGAAGGAGGAGGAGGAGGACATGAGACCAGCCGGCAGCCTTGGGGTCGGACGAGCTGCTGGGGGGGCACCGCGCACGCGGGGCGGGAATCGGCAAGGGGTGAGGAAGCTCGCAGGATGGCAGCAGCAGGACGCGGAGGGAGGGAGCAGTTCCGCCATTGAACCGTTAGTCTCTTGCACGGGGTGTCTAGAGCTCCGACCACTTTATTTCGGCACGGCACCCCCTCCATCACCCAACGCTTCCACCAGCCAGCGCGACCCTGGCGCGCCCCCATCCCCCCGCCCACCAGCCAGCGTGCCCCCTCCGCCCCGACCCTTTCATTTCGGCACGGCCCCCCCCCATCCCACGCGCCCCTTCCGCACCCCCCCCACCCACCAGCCAGCGCGCCTCCTCCGCCCCGACCCTTTTATTTCAGCGCGCCCCCCCCCTCGCCCATCAGGACCACCGCCCTCCACCCGCCAGCCAACGCGCCCCCTCCGCCCCGACCCTTTCATTTCGGCACGGCCCCCCTCTTCCCCGCCCACCCAGACCACCATCCCCCCACCCACCAGCCAGCGCGCCCCCTCCGCCCCGACTCATTTATTTCGGAAAGCCCCCCCCCCAATCCCGCGCGCGCCCCCCCACATCCCCCCCGCCCACGAGCCAGTGCGGCCCTTCGCCCCGACCCATTTATTTCGGCACGGCGCACCCCTCCGCCCCGACCCCTTTATTTCGGCACCGCACACGCCCTCCGCATCCCCCCCCACCCAGCAGCCAGCGCGCCCCTTCCGCCCCGACCCCTTTCATTTCGGCACGGCACCCCCCCCATCCCGCGCGCGCCCCCCCCCCGCGTCCTCCCACTCGCCAGCCAGCGTGCCCCTCCGCCCCGATCCTTTCATTTCGGCACGGCACTCCCACCCCTCTCCCCGCACCCACACCACCATCCCCCTTCCCGCCAGCCAGCGCTCCCCCTCCGCCCCGACCCTTTTATTTCGCCACGCCCCTCCCCCCCCACCGTCTCACGCGCACCCTCCGCATCCCCCCCGCCAGCCAGCGCGCCTCCTCCGCCCCAGCCCGTTCATTTCGGCACGGCACCCTCCTCCCCCATCCCGCGCGCCCCCTCCACATCCCCCCCAAACAGCACCCAGCGCGCTCCCTCCGCCCCGACTCTTTCATTCTCTTGCACAGGGTGTCTAAGAGCTCCGACGACTTTATTTCGGCACGGCACCGGTCGATGCAGCCCCTCGGCCCGCGCCTCACAGCGCGCCCCCTCCGCATCCACTTTCTAAAGCAGCCATGCCGAAGCAGCCCCTCGGCCCTTTGCATCCTTCCCCCGCCAGCCAGCGCAGCCAGCCCGCCAGCCAGAGTGCCCGCTCGGCGCTGGCCCGACCAGCCAGCGCACCCCCTCCGCCCCGACAGCTTGGTTTTGGCACGGCGCCGGCCCCACCAGCCAACGCGTCCCCTCCGCCCCGACCGCTTTATTTCGGCACGGCACCTGGCCCCAGACCTAGCCTCCTCACTTGGCCCTGGCCCCAGCCCCCCTCGCCCCGAACCCTTTATTTTCGTTTGTCGTCGTCCCCCTGGTCCTGGCCTTCGACCCAGCCTTCACCCTGGTCCTCGACCCAGACCCCCTCGTCGTCGCCACCCTGGTCTTGTCCTTGGACCCGGCGTCCTCCCCTGGCCCTGGCCCCAGCCTCCCTCTCCCTGGACCCTTCATTTTCGCTCGTCGTCGTGCCCCTGGCCTTGGCCCTGGACCCAGCTCCCCTCGCGCCGGACCCTTTATTCTCGTTCGTCGTCGTCCCCCTGGTCCCTGTCCTGGCCCTGGAGCCAGCCTCCCTCCCTGACCTGGCCCAAGCCGCCCTCGCCCCCCTGGTCCTGGCACTGGACCCAGCCTTCCCCCCTGGTCGTTGCCCTAGCCCCCCTCGCCCCGCTGGCCCTGTCCCTGGACCCAGCCTCCCCACTTGGCCCAGCCTCGCAAATCTATCGCGCCTCAGCTACCATCAAAAACTTTTTCGAGCAGGTTCCAATCGACAGCCGCTGATTCAGCACTGGGGCGCCCTGGCCCCACCTGCCCCTCCTCCTCCTCCTCCTTCTCCTCCTCCTTGTTCCCTCGATCCCCCCTCTGCGTGTCCTCCTCCTTCTCTCCTCATGGGTGCAAGAGCCAGAGCACGCGTGCCACTTGTTTTTTTTGTTCAGCCCCAGCGCGCGATAGTCAGCAAACCGTATCCGCGGCGACGCCCAATGACGGGCAGAGCCATTGCGGTGGCTGCGAGCGTCTCTCTCACACACACCTGTCAGGAGGGAAAGAAGCACACAGACACAATTAATCGGCCACTCCCAGGAAAATATGGGAAAATATAGGAAGTGAGGGGGAAGACGAAAACCCAGAAAATATGGGAAAATATGGGGAATCTTTTTATTTGTGTGTATTTATTTGTGTGTCCTGGGGCCCCTTTAACCTGCACAGGCACTCCCTCGGGGTGCGCGCCGGCGGACCGCACCCTGGATGCTTCTGGGGCGCGCGGCCACTCAGTCGACGCCCTGTTCGTCGTGTGCGGCGGCTGACTTGACGGTCCGCTTGCTCCAAATCTCATAACAGTGGGGGGCGGGTCAAACAAGTGTTTGACGGCCGCTCTGGGAGCCTCCCCCCAAGACAGGCAACACAAGGTCCAGAATCGAGACCCCCCCACAAATGTGTTTGACGAAGCCCGTGAGACCACCCCCCCCAGAAGCAGACCCCCCCCCATTGTTATGAGATCCGGAGTAGCTGTGGCAACATTTTGCAGCGCCTGTACTTCCGCTTCCGCAGCTGCGGACACGTGGCGCGCCCAAAGGCACAGCTACG